AAGAAGGCAATGGCAAACCACTTCTGGATCATCTGCCAAGAACGTATATGAACAGGTCCCAGTTCGAGAAAAGGATGGAAGGATCCTGTTCATATGGACCTGTCGTCAGACAGAATACTAAATAATAAATACCTGTGGTAGGAGAGTTAACATGCCTAATATTATACATATAGATCTGTTGTGAACAATGACTGTTAATATGGAATTTATTGATGTCACGTAGAAGTTTTACTGTTTATTTATAGTTTATTTAATGTCGCTTTTCAGTAGCTCAGACTATATATTGTCGAATTAGAGGATGATGGTGAATAATGAATTGGAAAGGGTGTGGAAGGAAGCTGTCGTGGCATAATTGAAGACACTATAGCGCCATTTGTCTGGAAGGGTTGTGAAAAACCACCAAAATCCTTTGTCAAGATAGCCCGTTTCCGGGCCGAGATTTGAATCCGTGACATCCCCAATTCGAAGCTGGAGAGCTAATCACTCAACTGCGACGAGTCACTGCTTGCTTGTTTTGTTTTAAATTTTGTCTTGTGGGTCGTTTAATAAGAAAGAATGTTTCTGTGCTCGTTAGTATAACAGCACAAACTTCTCCGATTTGATATTTAGTTGAATCTCGCGGTCACGACCCTACAGTTGATGATACATGTAGCTATTTCTAGTCCGTATATGATGGTGACTGAAGCCAAGCGGACACCTATTGCGTCTTGCGTACCTTGAATGTGTCAAGAATCAATTTTTGAATTGTTTAAACATTGTGGTTTGTTGGTAACGTGATAGGCTTACATTGAATCCCCAGTCGTGATTAAATTTGCAATTTAGTCTGATGTCAGTAGCCTCTTTCGCCAGATGCTCTATATTTCCCAATTTAGGATCAGTATTGAGGTTTACCTGCACTTGATGTTGTGGCGTGGCTGACTCCACCGACTGATGATCTCTTTTTTGTGTATTTTGAAAGTGAGAATTGGACCCTGTTAGATTAATATGTCTTAAGTATGAGTATATATCAACAAATCTGTGTTACCGATCACATCAGTCCCTTATCATAGAGACATAACAATGCTAAACGTCGAATTTTTATTTCATTCTGACGCATTTGTCACTCGAAAAGTACTTAACTTTATTTGTCGCCGTGGGAACTTAAATTTGTATATAATTCTTCGTTTGATAGAAAGAATGGTGAATAAGTTGGGTTCCAGCCATGTTCGTGGCATTTGTTGGACGGTTTAGTTATTGTAAAACTTCCTCCTGGTTCTTGTTTTGACTGGGCGTTATTTTTCGTAGATCTGATTGCGTCATAGTAGATTAAAACTCCACAGTTAGTATAAAGTTTTGGAAAGCCTCTGCAGGTGGCAACTGTAATTTCCCTGTGTTGAGTTTTCCTCACAACTGCCTTTTTATTCAGCGTCACGGATTGTGCTTTTAACATGTTCGGACCTAAAGTTTTTTATGATTGATTTGCTTTTTTCTGTCCATTGGCATCCCTTAATTCCTCTTTCTTTCGCGTTTGTATATTAATATTCATTTTACACATCGTTCACCTTCGATGAACACGGCGATGAATCTTCAGATTCGATGAAATCAGCTAATGTATTGAGCAGCTGAGGACTGCACCATGGATATTTCCCTTGTGTCTAGCTCCCTGAACAGCACGCAGCGCTGGCCCGAGGAGTCAGATAACCGTTTTAGTGATGTACTTTATCACACAATCGTCGTGGCGCCAGAGTCGTGTTCCTCCACCAGTGACGTCTTTTACCATTACCCAGTCTGAGCTGTTTGTTGTGATGGTGATGCATTCCACTTGTCGACGTGAAGACAGGAGATCCTCTCCCTCTTAAGTACTACCTTTCAGGGACTGTCAGGGATCGATATAATATCGCAGAATAGAGATATTTTGTTCAGGGTCAAAAAGATGGAGTTGGTGAAGTCATCAGTCAGTCTTCGATATTAGCAATCTACAGGTTTGTATGATTTAAGGTTTTCACAGCGGTGAGTATGAAGATTAATCGCCCTAATGACGGAGGCAGTATGACCTCTGAAACGTTGGTAAACATCTACCATACTACACGGCGCAACAACCCAGAAGACAGAAATCTTCTACAGGTTTATTTATTTGTTAAAAATGTATTTATTCACTAACTTAAAGTGCCTCAGGTGATTTTTTCGTTATACGAGTTTAGTTTTGCAGTTTTTAACGGCTGATGAAGGACGCAAGCGTCAGATTTTTAACACGCCCTTACAGACTTAATTTGCACGATGTTCTACATTCTAAAGCAAAAGGCGGAAAACGTCAGGTCTGTGCACGGCGTTCCCAAGTCGTTGAGAGGATCGTCTAACAGCACCCCAAGCTTTATAATTTTTTTCTCTATCGTCTTGTCAAACCATTACTCAGACTTCGTCAACTTTGAATCTTACTTTAAGTACATTACTGTGAACATATATGAAAATTTTCTGACGTAATTCTTCATCGTAAATCGTTCTTACTGCTGTCGTGATGTGCATTATTGTTATCTTTCCCTGTTTGTCTTGTTATGGGCTTCTATAAAGAGCTACTTGCTACCAACAAAATAAGCCCATGTCTAAACGTGAGGAAGTATGGAGTAAAGCACAGGGTTTCTGCATCAAAACGTAAGTCTGAGTTGTGGGATTTTTTTATCCTCTGTGGCTGGATGGGACTGTTTCGAATTGACCATGAGGCCCCCTAGAAACATTGTGTAATTAAAAGTTATTCAAATCACTGCAAATAATTTATGTACGTCAGTAGACATAGCATTCATCATTAATGACACGTCGTGGATTCTGTTTGGTATTCTCGAGGTGTTATGACACGCATTAAATGGAATGCGGACTTTCATTACACCCGGTTGGAAATAATAGAGTCTACACGCATTTAGACCTTCTAGGTACCCAAAAGCTTGCATTTTGAAAGTCTCCACATTCTTGTCTGTCTTTTGTTTATTTCTGTGCATTTGAGCTCTTTTTTGTATTGTATTAAAGAGCTGTGCTACTGATATTTTGAAATTGCTGCTGTCGTGTTTTGCCCACCCCTGGCTGACCTACACTGATCCACAGGGGTTTCTTTTGGATTATACTTCAAGCAACTATCTGCGATTCCCAGCAAGTGCTGTATAAACATGAGCTCACCTGTTAACCGCGTGCAACAAGTGTCATTAAATTAAACTGGCAGAGGGAGCGTGTACAGGTTGAAGAATTTCGTGTTCTTTAGTAACTTACGTGTTTTTCGAGCGTATCATCAGAAATTCGTGAATAACAAATGCGCCATACTTTGAAAGGAAAGACAAAATGGCGTGTGGTATAGTGATTTCCGTGTGGGGAGGGTGTGTCCCCAATACATGATTGATTTTCAGGGGAGAAAGGAATGAAAGCAGGCAGATGGGAAAAGGAATAAGGGGAAAATAAAACGAACGAGGAGAATAGAAATGAAGGAAGGAGGAAAGATTTGAGGAAGGAAGGAAATTAAATAAATAAATAAAGGGTTAAGCGTATGCACTCTTAATTTTATGTAGGCTGCAACATGAACTTGGTGTCATGTTAAGTTCACATTTGTCGGTTCTTAAAATGCAATCCTTCCCATGTAAGAGAAGGTAAGGGAATTATGAAGATTTATTTGTTCATCGTACAACTAACTTTACATTATAGACCCATCTTGAGATTTATTTCCACCAGAACTTGCAATATACTTATATTTAGCTTGGAACTTCCAGATGTAAACGTTCAGGAATACTTTTCGTCGCATCGTAATATTTATTTACTCCAAGTCTTATTCTGTTTTCTTATAAAACTGACGAAATATAAACAGGCCTTTTAAGAGATTGGAGTTTTACTATTCGAGTGAAACGTCTGCAATGGAAGATAATGATTAATGCGCGATATATAAATCCTTGTGTTTCAATTAGCTAAGCAGGTTGGTTTTAGCGGCGTTTTGGACTTTATTCGGGAGCTAACCTACCTTCTCGAATCTTGGTCGAGACACTAAATTGTGATTTGATAGGATGTAGTAGTGCACTGTTTTT